CTCAAGATTTTGGGCATGCACACACACACACCTGTCGTGAGTTTTAAGCTGCCAGGTCTAGGACTCAAACCAAGTGGGAATCAAGTGATGTAATCATTACGCCATCTGCTGATTCCCCCCCCGCCCCCAGCTTGATTTTCAAGCTGTGGGATCCAGGACTTGAATCCACATGGGAGTCATCTGCTTTAACCTCCCCTCCACCTGCTGGACCCATAGTCCAAGTCTGACAGGGAAATGTTTTGCTCCTGTACACAAGGTGTGGAGACAGTAATCCACCTCTTGAGGACTCTGCATTTATGGAGGCCATGGTGACTCAGTGCTATGCTGCTGTGTGAGGCCCGGCATGCAGCCTTTACCTAGAAGAACTTGAGTGGTTATAGAATTTTCCAGCAGATTACTAGAAAAGTAGCATTCTCTTGAATGATTTATTGGTAGTACATTGAAAGGAGAGAATAAAGTCACAGCCAGTGTCTGTGCACATCTGAAATCAACTCTTCCAAGCATGTCCCATGTGTTTCTTCTCCCTTGAACACTCGTTCTCAATGAGCTCCCCCCTCTGTCCTGCAGGAGCTGCCTCCTGAGCGTGGAGCCTGCTATCAGCACCAAGCACCTCCCTTACCAGAGCTTTCAGCTCTTTGGCTTTGACTTCATGGTGGATGAGGAGCTGAAGGTCTGGCTCATTGAAGTCAACGGCGCCCCTGCCTGTGCTCAGTAAGCTGCCCACACTGTGTTCTAACGAGTGGGAAGTGGGTCTATGGCTTGGATAGTCTTTTGGCTCACCTTCCTGAGGGGTTCACATGTAACCCCCTGAAGCTGTCAGGGATGATGGCACAGAGATAGGCCCCTTTGGGAGGGCGGTCAGGGGCCTGGCTGAGTCTCTTTCCCCTTTCTCTCAGGTGGGTGGGAGACACTATGAGAGGGTCAAACAGAATAAGAACTCCCCAAGAGACCCTCTGTGGTGGGTTGAGTGAGCAAGATCCTGTAATTGGGGGCCATAGTAAAGATCTAGAAGTTTAGGGCTCCCTGGGCAGGGCGTGGCCTGAGAAGACAAAGTGGGGCTCTAGGGGGGGTGTAGGGGGAGAGCATTCAAATGCACCTGAGGGGACTGGGAAGAACCCCAGAAAGGGACATGGCACCCAGTGACACTCGCTCTGCTCCAGGCTGGGAGGTGCCCGGGTGTGCAGAGCTTGCCCCAGGAAGCTTTTTTCTCCCGGGGATAAGCCTGGTGACCACGGTGTTGGGATCATGGAGTAACGAAAGGTGAAGGTTAGTCAGGAAATCACCACCACCCTCCACCCCCTAGGAAGGTAGCCACACTGCAATATTTTCTCCCTAAGTGCAAGGGAAAGTTATCTGGACTTAATGCACATAGGTCCATTTCCATAATGTCAATTGAGGCCATCTTCCAAAAGTGTAGGATAAAGTCCTGTTCCTAGGGACTTCCAAGGGACAGCATTAACACATAAGTCAATCTTGGTTAGGAGCTGGACCTTACCACTTGCTAGGTGGTGTGACAGGTGTGATTCCATCTCACGTGTCCATCTCCACGGCTAAGATGTGCTCCCTGGGTACTGCCTAACCCACTAAGCCCCACCTTAGGCCACGTGCTCCCAGCAGCAAGGGAGGGTCACAGGATCTCAGTGGAGAGGACTGTGGGCAAGACAGACTACAGACTGGAACAGGTGTTCTCGGAGGATACAGAATAGGACCCTAATGGGGAACAAAGTTCGGAACCGAGATCTGAAGAAAGAAAGTGAGCAGGCTAAGTGTGGAGGTGGGAAACCTTCGCGTCTTCCTTTGCCCAGATCGACAGTGGATGCCCAGTTTCTCCTCCTGGCCTTCCGATTACTGTGGTCCCTGTCCTTCCCCCACCATCCCATTCTCTCCCCTTCCTCACATTCCCGCTCTT